GATGCTTCGAGCCCTGTTCTGACACCCAGAGTCCCTTCCCAACATTGAAGAGGACACTGTTTGCTTCCATCTCGACACAGGAGAGAGACTCCAGCTAGGACAGTGGGGAGAAAGAAAAGGGAAGGGAGGAGGGGCTCACCTCTGCGGCAGGGAGGGCCGCGGCAGGTGTAGAGGAACCACGGGCCGCGTTCACAGACTGACTCCCTCCCTCACATCCTGGTGGGGCAGCTCTCAGAAGCCTCCCTGCCCCTGTCCACCCTCCTATCCCTGGCTCCCAGGGGAGGCAGACACTCTCCTTCTTCCCCACCAGGTGGTTGAAAACCAACCAAGTGACAAAGAGTTAAGTCAGCCCTCCTAGCAACTCCAAAAAGCCGAGTTTGGTGATGCAACAGCAAAACCAAGCAGCTGGTTAGGAAAGCTCTGGTCCAGATGGGTGAGCCGTCTGGACAGTGCCACTCACTAAAGGCCTAGAGAGCATTTGCTCTGGCCGTCTCCACCACCCACCCTGCCAGAGCCCTCATCCCACCAGGCAGGGGACCCAAGGGTTGGCTGGTAGTGGCGGGAAGACACCAGACTGCTGGGGGTGGAGAAGCCCCCCCCCAGAGAACCTGAGCAAGCGGGGACCTCAGGCTGTGGGATGCAGGCGGTGAGCCAGGTTGCTAGGAGACGTTGGTGAGTGTGGGATGGGTGACGTGGTCGTGTGAGCAGGGCTGGAGCCGAATCTGGCAGGAGAGATGGAAAAGGAGGGGCAGATCTGTCATCTCCATCTGCAAGGTCACTGATAGCATGGAAATGTGGCCACTAAGATGCACCATGTCCCCGGCCCCGCCAGGTCCCAATCCATGGTTCAGGAGTGTCTCCAAGGCTCGGCCGGTTCTGCAGCTGGCTAGGGGAAGTGTTGGCTCTGTCCTCTTCCTGGTGACCTCCTTAGTTGGGCTTCTGGGGCTAAGATGTTTCAGGTAAGCGGATTGAGGCTCTGCTGAGCGAACAAGCCAGAGGACCCATGTTTCTTGTTTAGGTGGAGGTGGCAGCTGGGGGGTGCCTTCCTGTTCATGTCTGTCCAAGTTTTGAAAATAAAATGTATTAAGAAACAGATATTTGTACCCATGTTCATAGCAGCATGATTCACACTAGCCAAAATGTGGAACAACCCAAATGTCCCTCAGTAGATGGATAAATACGTTTCCATCACACACGGGAATACTCTTCAGCCCTAAAAAGGAAAGAAGTTCTGACACTCTCTACAACATGGACGGACCTTGAGGACATTGTACTCAGAGACAGACGCCAGACACAGAAAGCCACAGAGTATATGATTCCATTTATATGAAATGTCCAGAACAGGCAAATCCACAGAGACACAGTAGAATGGGGGGTGCCAGGGGCTGGGGAGGGGGATGGGGAGCGAGAGTTTATTTTTATTTTTTTATTTTTTATTTTTTCCTTTTTGTCTTTTTTCGTGACCGGCAACGGATCGC